CTACTATATATATATATATATATATATATAAAACACGAATTCAGTTATAATAAAATTAGTTCTTAGTTATAAACAAAAAAAAAAATTAAAATCAGTACTTAATAAATAATAACATTTTCATTTTAAGTAAATGAAAAGTTGAAAATTGATGAAACAATTTAAGTTGTAATTATTTCACACTAAATTTTATTACAATTTATTACGCCTTTTAATGGATGCATTTTAAAATTCTCATATCATTTCAGAAGAATGTTAGAGTTACAATTTTAATATTTTAAAGAAATAGTAATTAATAGTTAATAGAAATTGAAAATTTATTTTTCTTTAACAAAATTTAAACGATTCTTTTTGGTTTAAAAATTTAAACAAAAATTTATCCTATTATTACATTTTTCCCCTCTTCCTCTTTCTTTCCCTCTCTCTCTTTCTCTTTTTTGTCTTTTTTTACCATTCTCTTTTCTAAGTTTCTTTTTTTTTCACATTTTAATGAAGCATTTGTAAATTCACACCAAATGATTTACTGTCCATTCATTATCACAATAACATTTCTTACAATTTACTTAAAATAATTAACTGACACTTTTCCTTTTCTTAATTTTTACACTGTCAATTTTTACAGTACTTTTTGAAATTAATTAATTTATTTTTCTTTAGCAAAATTTAACCGTTCCTTTTGGTTTAAAAAAAAGCTATCGGACCGATTTTATATTGTATTTTTATTTTAAATTAATTTTTATCCTTTAAAATTGCACAAATTTGGTGGTATTTTTCGAAAAAATATTTGAAAAATAATAGAAATAATTGAGCAAATAAATTTAGATATGAAATGAATGTTACTCATTATTACAAGTAATAAGTAGGAAAATAATTCCTTGTAATCTAGTTTAAATTACAAACCAACTCATATTACAACTAATTATGATAAATGACAATGATAGTGACACAATTCTAATTTTGAATGAATATTTCAAAAATTTTCTATCAAATATTTACATAAGTTAGCTATGGAAAATTTTAATTTTAGGCTGAAGTTAGTGCAATCCGTGACAAAACAACTTGTGTTGAAGTGGGTGATTTGGTGATAAGTGTTGATAATCGATTGATTAGTTCATTAAAAAGTGCCGAAGAGGTACAAATTTTATTGCGTCACGGTACGAATCTTGTTCTACGTAAACGTGATGCTATCGTTTCACAATACATGAGATCAAGACCATTTCCCACTTCAACTAATAATACTACAACTACTCCTACAACAGTTTTTAACAGTTATGCAGCACCCCCACCACCACCACCACCATATAATTCCATAAGAAATCGTTCCTACAGTATGGATCGGATATCTGATATTACATCTTATACGAACATAACTCGAAAGGTAAGCAAATTGTGTTTAAATTATGGAAACTTTTGAACCGCAAAAGTAAATTATTGGCTTGGCTTGCTGATGTCCGTGTTTTTTTCTTTTTTTTTTTTATTCTCCGATTTTTCTGATCCTGTAGCATTTATAGGATCAAGAAAATGAATCAGCTCGATCATCACCCACTCGAAGTATTCATCGAAATTATCAACCATCTTCAAATGGTCATTTATTTCGTCAAATGTCTCGTTCTGCTTACGTGAAATCAACAAGATGTGAGGAATATCGACATACAACTCACAATGATGCCATTTCCGTATCACATTTTAGTGAAGGAGCGGAAGAACAACTCCTAAAAACAATTACTGAACTTGTATCAACGGAAGAAAATTTCGTCCGTGATGTCCAGAAGGTTTTAATTTTTTCCTGCTTTTTTTTTCCTCTGTCCCCTTTTTTTTTAGACATTTAGAATCATTAAGAAGATAAATTAACTCGGACAAGTAAGCTTTAATCCGTGACAAGTAAGCATGTTGAAATTTAATAGTGAAAATTGTGGACAAAGAAAATAAATGAAAGGGATGACATAATTTCTTCTTTTTTTTTTTGCTTCTAGATTGAAATATTTAGATTGATAGATAAAATGAATGTCTAATTACTTCATAAGATATATTTTTAAAAAAAAAATCTTTTTTTTTACTAATAATTTTTGGAATTTCTATTTCCTTTAATTCAAAATACTTCGAATGTATTTATGAAATGTTTCGAAAATTTTTGGGAAATTCTATGTGATTCAAATTTTAAAATATCAAAATAAATTTAAATGGCAAAAAAAAATTCATTTTTAGCTAGTAAATCAATATTTGAAACCAACAAATTTACCCCTATTGGAAACAGCTGATCGTTTATTACGAATTCAAACTTCATTTCTTTTATCACTTCTTGATGCAGCTGGCGATGTTGTTCATTCATTTATTGTCTCACAACAACAATTACGGGTGAAATTGAATGATTCGAATAAATTAATTGATTATTTTAACTTTTAATGAAATATCATTAAAGCATTTTCATAAATACTCGTGGAAAATTTGCATTTGAATTTAAACAACATAAGAATTTTTCATTTTAAGCTAATATTAAATTTCATTCCAGGATTCATTGATTCGTATTTCGGCTCTATTTGTTAACAAATGTAATAAATTTAAAATTTATAGCGATTATTCAGCTGCATATTTACGATTTCAACAAAATAAAAAAGGTTAACAATTATATTCAAATTATATGTAAATCTATTTGTTTCATTTTTTTTTTTGTTTTTTTTTTGATGATGATAATTCAATTTCAAATATCAGATACATTCGTATATTTTTCACTCATCCTTCCAGTATCATATGTACTATTTCAGCTATTATTGATATTTTACTCAATTCAATCCTTTTTTTTACTTTAATTATTGATATTTTGCTATATTTAATTACTATATATTTAATTACTTTAATTATTGATATTTTGCTTAATTCCGTTCTTTGTTTATTTTAATTTGAAGAAAATTCATGATTTTTTTTTGTTTTTAGAGCTAAATGATATTGCGGTAAAATTGGAAAAATTGAATATTAGCGGTGAGCAAAGTGAAAGTGCCCAATCATTACTAATCAAACCAATCCAACGAATCCTCAAATATCCACTTTTTTTACAGCAAATTAAAGATAACTGTTTTAAAGGTTCATTTTTCCTTCATTTTTTATCCCTTCCCCCCGCCCTCTCCCCAATAAAGAAATTTACAGTTTCACATATTACAATTCAAATTTTGCCACTTCCAATTTCAATTTTAATTCATAATTTATTTTTCTATTCATTTAAATTGATCATTTATTATTTTACGGTAGCATGAAACACTTATACACCGAAACAGATACATTTTTTAGAAATAAGCTTCTAAATCCAAATCTTATAACAGTTCCATTCTTTGATCCAAATCCTTAGTGTGTCATATTTTGTCACATATCAATGGTTACTCATAATGGTTTAGAGTAAGATTGATTTGACATGTTTAAGCCAATTTAGACATTATTATTATCCGAAAATCATCTGATTTACAGGATCCGTAGAATGGCAACAAGGTGAACAAGCATTAACAAAAATGCAAGCCTTGGCAGAATACGTGAATGAAATGCAACGATTAACGGAGCAATACGGACAAACTATCGAAGAAATTTCATCGAAAAATGGCACAGTAAATCAATTTCGATTATTTCTAAAAGCATTACATCAATATCTTCTCTCGATCCCTCAAATAGTTCATATATGATAAGAAGAAGTAATGCTTTAACATGAACTTATCGACTTTTAGTCATAACATTGAGACTGTTTTCAATCTAAAATCAATGTCGAATATTAGGAAAGCCATCAATAATTCCATCTTAAAGCATTAAATTTCACTCTACAATTGTAAAATTTCTTTTTTTTTTCAGATATCACGTATGAATTTTAGTCAATTGTTAATGTTTGCACATATCAATTGGTTAAATTGTCCCGAGAATCGTTCACGTCCGATTGCTTGCGTAGCATTTGTTTTCACCAGTCTAATTTTAATTTTTTGCCCAACACTTTCTAAAAATAAGGTTTATATTTTTTGTTAATAACTAACAAAAAAGAAAAAAAAAAAGAAGGATAAAATGAAGAGACAAGAGGTGTATGCATGGATGCTCATTTGCATAATTTAAACATCTATTTATTTTCCTCAATTCTTTCTTAATTTTTCCTTTATTTTACTTTGATTAATTAATTTCATTCTACGAAACAAATATTAATCATCTCTTTCTGGGTTTTAAAAAAAAAAATTCTTTTCATATTTCAATATGAATTTTCCCTATTTCCTTATTTCAATATGAATTTCATTTCATTTATCAATCTCTTTATTACACCTATCTTAATTATGCTTTTTTTAATTAATCTTCCTGTTCTCATACGTCATATTTTATTCAATTTCGTTTCAATCCATCCTTTTCTCTACCCTACTTATTGTTTCTACTAATTAGTCTAATTACAGGCTAATGTTTATCGAATTTTACCAATTGCTGAAGTGGAAGTAAACGAAAGTAACACTCAATCATCCCAGCAACAATATGTCTTCATCCTAATACATATTGGTTTATCACGTGAGTCTGTCTACCATTTTTGTTGTTGCCAAGCGGAGATCAAAAATCACTTCATTAAATCTATTCGTAAAGCGGCTGCTACGATAGCGTAAGTTTTCGCTCCACTATTTTCTTTTTTTAAATTTTAATTTCTGGTTAATTAAATAAGAATAGCCGTCCAATTTTAAACATATACTATGCGTATAAGTGTGTACGTTTCTTTACTATAACTACAAGAAACTGGAAAGAGAAATGAATGATGGGATTATTGATGACATATTATTATATTAATGCGTATCAAAGGTATCGCAAATGGTACTGATAAAAACTGGAGAACTAATCGATACGCCTATATTTAAGTACTATAATAAAATCTCCTGCAACTCCTTTTCATAGCCTTATTAGTAATATTTCAAAAAAAAAAAAAAGAAATTTTATCTTTCGGTAGAGTTGTATTAAAAGACTTAATTCTGGAAGAATTTGAAATACTCCTAAGGTATATCATTTCAACTAATTTATATTCGATGTGTCATCATTGATTACTTCAATGATACGTTTCTTCCTAACTATCTCTTTTATGGTAAAGCGAAATTTGAAAGTAAATTTTTAGGGGACAATAATAAATAAAAATTAAAAATTCAAAATTTGAAAGCTTCAGATTGGCATAGAATTGGTATGCAATTTGAATTTGTTTTGCTTGCCTGTTCCAATTATTATTTCTTGTCAATTTTTGGGAAAAATTATCAAAAAATGAAAATTTGTCTCATTTTATTGTTGCTGCTAGGAATTTTAAAATAGTAATAGCAGTGGAATACCGTTGTTTAAGTGTTATCAGTTAATTGTTTTATGCTAATTTGCAATACGAGAAAGTTAAAGAAGATGGAAGATTCGATGTACTCAAAGTAATTGTTAATAATAAAAACTTTATGGTAGAACTACTTGAACCTTTATTAGAATGGTACCAAGAAAAATAGAGAAACTTATTGGCAGCATCAGCTAATTTTGGATTGATTTTCATGATATAAATAATATGTTAATGGAATTGATTTGTTATTAATGAATTAAATTCAAAAGAATTGACATTTCTTTCAAGGAAAGAACAACGTCGCCCAATTAGTGGTAGCAGTCAATCAGATGGCGGTTACAGCAGCGAGCGGCATATACCGTAGTGCAGTGG